GAATTAAGAAGATTATCATACCTCGAGGGTCCACGAAGTGTACACCATGATATATCAGGCAAATTGAAGTCACCTCCAATTATATTATAACTGAAGGGAAGATTGGATGCAACACTAAATACGTTGCTGAGTACGTTATCGTATTCGCGGTTGGATGATGGCGGGCGGTATACACACCCTATAAGGATAGGTTTACTTCTGAGAACTTTTATTTCGACCCACACCGAATCATTAAGTTGTGACAGAATAGGGTGACTAAAATGCGTTGCACAAATGGGTTGTTTAACGTATATGAGTGTTCCACCCCCACGACCTGTTTCCCTATCCCCTCGAAAAAGATTGTACTTATCAATTGATAAGCTATCATCCGTAATATCACTTGAGCACCAGGCTTCAGTGATCATGATCAGCGACGGATTGCATATAGAGGCTAACGTACATAATGCTAAATGTTTGTTAAGAACTGATCTAGCGTTTATGATGATGACTGATAGACTTTGACTAAGTGGTTTTAGTGTATGGGCAATATCATAATAAAATGCTCTATGGTTATCAGCTGAATATGTGCAGTCAATATTGGATTCATTAATTGCAACATTTTGATCACTAGAGACGTTTTCTTTAGTTTGATACTTAGGGATGGGTTGTGAGATGTCACTCGTGAGTGGTTGGTCGTTTAGATATTGCGTGCTATGGGAGATACTAGTATGATAATCTAAGGTATTACTATTGGTATTAGGTGTGTATAAAGTGTTTGCTATCTGTCGGGGAAGAAGCAGTTTCCCTGTTGTAAGGTGTTTGCTATACCAGCAAGGAATCGGTCTGACATCATATGTGCTATGTGCATGATCCCAGGCGTTTCTGCCAGTTGTCGCTGGAGAAAATTTTGGTCATATGGGTTGGCTAGAGTCATGTAGTCTGCATAGTTATAACCGAAATGGGTGGTCGGCGTGTTGTTGTGTGCATATGACTTAGATCCTTGTGTCTGGTTAGAGAACTTCCTAGGCCATGATGAGCATTGTGTTGAAATTGGCATGTGACTCCTACTGAATGCATGAGAATTATGACAGGGCGCTATACGTGTTTTTGGACTAACGTCTGTATTCTCAAACTGGTGTTTCCTGTACATCATGGTTGAGAGTGCATTCGTGAGGGGCTGAGCAACTTCGTGTTTTCGAAGTGTTTGGTGAGAAATGTGACGATTATTTTTTCTTATCATAGGACTAGTAGTGGAAGTCGGAAATGAGTAAGCTCCTACGGTATGTGAATTACGTCTAACTTCAGGAACATGACTAAGTTTAGATGATTGTCCACCAGTAGAATGAGCCAGTGACCCATTCGAAGCTTTCGTAATTATGGGCTTTAGTCTTGTATGCATCCTCGCCACCGGAAACTGACCGCAATATGATCAATCTGAGTCCAAGCTTGGTTCGCAGAGGGAAGACGCCAGGTAGCGCCACGGCGATGGTTGTGCCGGAAGTTGGTGCTGGCTAGAAATAGGTTGTGATCCGCGCAAAGCTGCAGAAGACGGTCCCCATTATCTGACCTGCAACCATGTAGTCCCCATTGACCACCTAGACGATTCTCCTCTGAGCTCAGACGCCCGACCTGTGCATTCAAGTCCCCAGCCAGCACTACGATATCCCTCCGACCCGCCTGTCTCAAGAGATCGTTAAGTTGGTGGTAGAACTCGTCCTTCATTGCATCCGGGCTGCAATCCGTCGGTGCATAGGCAGAGACAACAAATAGACACCGCCTATCTGGCCTACTACTCCTTACTTTCGTATATCCTTCCAGCCTCACAGCACATAAACGACTGTTAATGGGAATCCAGTCAAGCAGTGCAGCTTCGGCTCTAGCGCCCAGTGCGACACCGACACCAGCTACGCCGGATGCTGATGCCACAGGGTCCCCGGATAAGCGCAGGTGGTACATACTACTAGAACTTCCAGATGGAGAGGACAGTCGAAGCACTTCACTGGGATCTTGAATGCGGGTATCCGAAATGCAGCAGACATCGATAGTGAGGCTTTCCAAAGTTCTTGCCAACCCTACCTGTTGTCCGATTTGCATCAGCGTCCGAACATTGTAGGTAGCCAGCTTGAACGCAGCACGCGGTTTCAGGATATCTGTGTTAGAAGTCACATTGGGAACAACCATTTTGAGGACTACTCACTAACATCTCGAAACGACATGGATAGGCTGGGAATCTCGACAAAGGCGAAAGGCTGTCGAAGGTTAAGAAGCCAAGGTTAGAAAAGGTAAAATACAGGAAACTATGTGTAAAAATAAAAGTAAGATAGGAAGGAAATAAGTTGCTTGAGGGATCAGTATTGCTTGGAATCACTTTTACTAGCGCGCGTTGAGTTTCAATGTGAGTTCGTTGTTTCAATTCATTCATTGTGTGCGGGTGAGATACTGCCCGGGCGCCCAGACCGAAGCAGGTGGTGTTTTTAAGGGACCACCCCCCGAGCCCTTGACTTGGAGTCTAATCCGCAAGGCAGCGGAGCAGCGTCAGGTGCTGCGTTCCCATGGTTGCCGGTGACCCATATGGGTTCGTACGCCATTTGATCCGATTGGATTCTGGAGCCCATGTACCCCATGGTAACTGCTTTTAGTCTAACCGCTATCCAAACAACCTTCCTGGCATGGTAGGACCTGCAGGGACATGAGTCCCAGCCAGTTTAGCTTGTTGGGTCACTTCGGCATTCAAGCCCGACCACCACAGCAAGGTAGCAGTTATCGGCCGGCCACTAGTACAAATAACAATCACATTTTGGCGTCGCAATGGAATTAAATAATCTTGGAAAGTTTCCTATAAATGGTTCACCGCGGGAAATCTCCGATTATCTTGAATGTTTCGACGCATGGTGCATGTCGAAGAATGTTCGCGATGACAAAATTCCAGCTCATTTCATTACTGCTATTGGGCTAGATGCGTACAGCCTACTGAAAACTCTGTCATTTCCAGATAAACCAATTTCTCTGTCTTATGATAAACTCCGTGAACTTTCAACAAATCACTTCCACATAACAACTTTCGAAACACGAGAGAGGGCTCAGTTCAACAAACTTGTTCGTGCTCCCAACCAGAAGATTAGAGACTTTATTCTTCAACTTCAGATACAAGCTTCAAAATGCAACTTTGGAGATCAGCTCCATACTCAACTACGTGATCGTCTAATTGCTGGAATTAATATTCCTAAGTTAGAGAAAGAGTTGGTTCAGATACCTTCCTGCACCTTTCAAACTGCCAAGGATTTATGTATTGCGTATTAAGATGTCAACAGTGACTACCCAGCTGCCACTACGTCAGAGTCTGATGTCATGCTGTCCAAAGTTGATAATAAATGTGTTCATAGAAAGAAATCCAAACTGCCGTCCACATGTAATAGAATGCATACAGAAAGCAAGAACATCAAACCGTGTTTTTCATGTGGAAAACTTCATCTACGAAGCACTTGTCGTTTTCGGAGTGCTAAGTGCCATAAATGTGGTAAAATTGGGCACATCAAGTCTGTCTGCAGAAGTTCAAATAATTATGCTACTCATGATTCTCCCAAACTGTCTGATAAAATGAAGTCAATGTCTCTTTCAACTTTTCACAATACTCAATCTCATCTAGTGAGAAACTTCACTACAAGTTCAGGCAAGTCTCACTGTTTTATAATTGATACTGGGAGTACTGAATCTATAATTTCTAAGAAAGATTTACTATCGCTTTGTAAGCATGCTCAGGTAGACCCTACTACTAGTTCAATTACAAGCATAACTGGTCACAAACTACCTTTTATTGGTGCAACTAACATTTATTTGAAGTCAGACAGTGGTAATTTTGTGAATATCCCCTTTCTTGTTAGTGAATATGGTCCATCTTTATTGGGATTGAAAGCCCTTAGATTGTTAAATGTTGAAATCTCACTTTGTACTGAGTTGTTTGATGAATCTTTGTTCAGAGAATTAGTTTTTCAATGTTCAAAGTGTGTAGGTGGCATGAAGATTCAGCCCATCCATCTTGAAATAGAGGGTGATCCTATCTTCCTAAAGCGCCGATTAATTCCATATGGTTTGCGAGATGCAGTTAAGAAAGAGTTGGACAAGTTGGTTGAGCAGGGCATACTTATGCCAGTTGAATCTTCGAATTGGGCTACTCCCATTGTCACACCACTAAAGGCTGACGGAAAAACACCGAGAATTTGTGGTGACTATCGCCTTACACTCAATAGTCGTCTTCTACAGCAAAGTTGCACTACGCTAGAAAGCGAAGATATTCTCTCTCTGTTTTCTCTATGTTCACCTGAAGTCCTATCTATGATGCTTCTTCTGTCAACTTGTTGCTTTTCACTTGCGCAACATTGTATTATGAGCATTTCAGTATGGTAAAAGTCCTATCTCAAGGTGAGTAGTAAATCATTTAAACGTGAGTGGGATCAGAATCTCCTACGGTGATTACCTAATGCTGCACATAAACACTGTCTACATCGGGTGAATTCCTGCACATAAGTTGTTCGTCGAAATAATCAAATGAACTGCGTGGTGAATCTTTTATTTTAATAGATCTTATTTTACCATCCTAATATTATAATCCTGTGTAGTCTAATTCTTACGAACCATATATTGTAATTTACTACTGTCTCCTTTCACGCATATTTACATATATGATGATGAACCTTCTACGTCTACATAGCCCACACGAATTATCTCATTAAAATTAATTCCATTTTTGACCAAACTGGATCACTTTTAGATGAAAGAATAGATTTTAATCCACTGCACTAGCTAGGTTCCAAAACACCGCATACTCTAAACTTAATATAATGACTGAGGTGAAACAAGAGTGAAGTTAAATAGCTGGAATACATCCTACACAGTAAGAAACACTGGTTTTTGCCAAGAATCCGTAGAATAACATAATTTGGTTCTCAAAATAGTGTTTTATTCTATGCTTCCGTTTCAATTGCCACTGTGACACTTTGTTTTTCTTTTTCGTTCATACATTGAACAATTTGAATTTATAATCTGTTTTCGCGTTGAAAAGATTTATGGAGCATAGGTGAAGTAGAAAAATTGTAAAGAGATGGAGCAACACTATGTGAGAAAAGCCTTGGAAGAAGTTATTCGATTAGCTGATGAGAAAGTCACAAATACAGAAGAAGCGGTAACCAAGAAGGAAGAGGAATTGAAAGAAATATCTCACTCTTATGAAAATACACTTGATGAGTTAGGACAGTACTTTGCTTCTGTAGTGAAACAGCTGGAAAAATGGAGGTCTGTGTTTGCCCAGGTATGTAAAAACTTCTTAGAATAATAAATCTAAAGGATATTCAAAAAAACATGTCCGAACTGAATACTAAATTCAGGACATATGCAGTTAAAATTCAATCTGGAAAAGAAAAACTAAAGGAGCTAAGAGAAAAGTCAGCGCAAGTCCTGAATCTTGGACACGCCTCTAACTCTGATTTGGTGTATCAAGTTCACAGTTGCATATTCTCCATTAATCAAGATTTGGAAACTCTTTCAGAATTTGTGGGTAACTGTTTACCGTTGAAATTTGTCGGGAAACTGAATTTCGAACAAGTACCGAAATCGGAGATTGGTACACTTGAGAGGCTATCTGATATATATGCCGCTGAAATTTTACCAAGCAAACTGCCGAAAATTAAACTCGGTCAGTTGTTTCATATAGACTTCAGAATTTCAAGCAAGTACTGTGAGGCTGCTCGCAAATTCATTGACTACTCAGTTACCAAAGACGAAGAGAATTTTCAAAAAGTATGTGCTTATCTTCAGGACAATAAGGACGGTACTTACAGCCTCAGTTTTCCTATCACGCTTATAACTCCACATACAGTAAATGTAATGTACTTAGGTGAACATATTAAAAACAGCCCTTACACCATTGTATTCAAAGTCGGCCCTAATCAGATGTTATCTGGTCCTATTCAGAGTAATCCTTCAGGTGGAAGTTTCCCTAACAAGGAGATGATTAATGAATCACAAATTAACTCATGTAAAGGGATAGGACGAGCTATGGGAGATGACACTGATGCATTTAGGCGAAATAAGTGGCCAAATCACCTTGAAAACAGTCAACAAAATAACAACTGGTCTACAGTTAACTATGAAAATAATGAACAACTTAAACAAGAATAAATGTGTATATATATATCTTATGAGAGGATGAGGAATAGGTGGAGTTCGTTTAATTCAGCAATATATATGGAATTAAGACTTTTAATTGTAAATTAAAAGCGTATATTTTCCTATTGAACTCATCAATGATACAATAAAATCATTCCCATATATTTGCTTATGATTCACATGGTAACGCACTGTGTAAATATGACTTTATCATTGTTCCATATTATTAATAAATGCATGAAGATTAGTTGTCTGGCAAACCGATATTAGATTGCGCGACGTCCAGGTTGACATTTTGATAAAGCATATAAACCTATTTATGTAGCTCTAAGAGACACCCTATGACTTTCTGAGCTAATACTACATTTTGATCTGACCGAATGTGACTTCTTTAAAGTCTAACCCTACTTCGGTTAACATTCCTCATGTATAAAACCTTTCTCAGCATAACTTCACCAATTGATTGTCGTAATTACCTAACATTCTGCCTCTAACCATATTTTTACTTACCATGTTTTGGAATCTATCATGAGTGATTGACAAAAGATACCTATTGCCAAATACTTATATCTCCTTGCTTCAATGTTCACGTCTCATATTTGCCTTTACAAGCCATTCCACGTCTATAGGCATTCAAGCATAGTACATGACTAGCATAACATACATCTTCGAGATACTTAAAAGGTCAGAATGACACAACTGTCAAACCCTTTGATTCAAAAAGGACACAATGTATGCTTTTATTCTCAAACCCGGAGAGGGATGGAGACTTGATCACTGCACACTTATCAGGCTTGGTATATGCCTGATTTAATAGATTTTACATCGCATCGAGAAGCTTTCAGTCTGCGTTCGAACTTAGATTCCAAGCCAGTCAAGGTTAAGCGACAACATGATTATTTCAGGAAGACTTGTGCTCTTTCTAATTAATTGGAATGATGTGAGGTTTACCACTCTAGGGGGCTATCTTATACACTACATCTAGTAAAGAATTTTTTCAAACACTTCTGAAGTCGAAACACGAGTTCCTGTTGTAAACTCAAGAAAGCATTTGTGATCTCATTTGGTTTGCATTTGGCAGTAAGTAGTTAGTGCCCATTTCAAAGTGTTTTGCCCAACATTTCATAAATCCCTTAAATTTCCATCCTCTTATAAAGTAGTTCTACTTACGATTTATCTTTTGAACGAGCATCTACAGTTGGTGGGTGTTAGCCGAAATCGATAACTTTTCTACTCTTTTCTTATCCAGTAATCATAAAAAAGGCTGTAACGTAATACTACATTCAAACTGTCGATTTCGCCTCAGTTACTACTCATTCCGATGTTATATACTAAACAATTCACAAATATGGGTTACCTTAAGTAACTTAACTTAAACAGCTTAACAGTCGATCATACGTTAATCTGAATTTGTTTCTACAACTGATGCAAATGTCATCTCTGTATAAAACATGACATATAATATGCTGACATTTAACATGACAATAACTTTGTGTCGGAATACCTTTTAATTCAAAAACTACATAAAGTGTCGACTACAGAATGCTCTAGCAAATACTTATTATGTGAAAAGACACCCATACACAAGTAGACTACTCAGATGTACTACAGAAACTCTAAGAAACCTGGAAGCTGTTCAGCACTTCTATTATTACATTACCGAACATCCAGTATGAAAGATCAATAAATTTATAACAAGTACTAATTAAAAAATAAGCACTAGAAGAAACCAGTTAAAGTATATCGATGCTGAAATCATAAAAAAGAGTGATAATCTGAGAAACATTGTAAGTTCATATGAGAAAGATAACAGAAAATAAAGCAAGAGGAAAACAAAATCTATTATATTAAGTAGAAAAATGTTCTGTTTCAATTGAAGTATGAAAAATAATAGCAAAAAATCAGTACAATGAAATCTTGTGTTGCACTTTTTCAGTTTTCAAATGCTGAGCACTGTGTACTTGAATCAAAATCACCAAATGAGAATGTTCTAATTGAATGTGAATAATTTGATGACACAGAATAGTTTTCATTGTATTCGGTATCCCCTTTGAATCCAGAATCTGTCTGGCTGCAGTCTGACTCATGATTAGCTATATTTTCTGAACTGAGACTAGATTTAAGCTGGTCACAGAACTGAAAGTAATTAAGAAACCAAGCGTTTTTATTACGGAAGAATGATGACAATAGTAGTTTGGATTATGATAATTTAGAAGAATATATATATATATATATGCCTAAACAGACATAATGCTAAAGTTTGAACAGGACTACCTTACGTTGTATGGTAGGATGTGAATATAAAAGTCTTTGAGGTAAATAACAATGGGGTATTTAAGGTCAACTGAGGCACACGGTGGTACACTTTTTAAAAAGTAATTATTAAAGTTAGAATTGTTTGCCGCAGGAAGATAAGCTTACTAACGGCACAAGGATAACAAGTACACCCGAAATTCCAAGGACTTTACGCTGAAATCTCTGTGTGCCAATAACTAATAACTGAGGAAATGAAAGTCAGAGCTTAACTTTAAAAAGAATTTTAATTATGGTTGCGACCCCATGATCTTAAAAAAAGAACACATTACGACAGCTAATAAACATCATCTGCCTAGAAACATACGTGCATCGAACGATACATCTAAAATAACTAGGCGTTTTTACATGCATTTTTGATTGGCGTTAAAATCTTAAAAAGTGCAAAAATCAATAAACCAAAATGATATTTGAATTGCTAAGCAAGCAGTAGTTTTTACAATGAAAACAGCAAGTCAACTAAGCATTTTGAAAAACACATAAAATTTCTAAATTAAAGTAACACTAGTATGAATGGAATCATATTCGAAAATAAGTGTATTAAGGTGTAGAAAATGTTTCATTTAAAAGGAGTAATCAGGTAAAAACGAAACAAACAAATGCAGGGGAGTATTTCGAAGACCTTAATATATTCCGCTATAATTCCTTAAGTTATTGTGTGATAAAACGTCAATACTTTGACTTGATATCATTTGAAATAAAACATCAAGAAATCATAAGGAATATGATTACCTTGAAACAAGAAGGAAAAATTTGAGAAAACAAGTAGATGAACAATGGAGAGCATTAGACAAGTAGATACAGTAGTTGGAAGGTTTAGTTGATAAAGACTGTTGTATTCAAGAATTTTGATAATATGAACAGTGAATACGTTTACTTTGTTCGATCACTGGGTAGTAACCAATCTCATGCATCTAGTCCTTGGGTCGGCGCCCACTGAATTCTATGAGTTAAGTATACAATATGGTCGCCATGCTAGGTGACCCGAAATCGCAGTGCACACTGAATTGATGTTAGATGATTGGAGGCACACGACACTCCTACAGGATACCAATCACTAACCCGAATAGCTCAGTGGTAACGTCTCTGACTGCAGCACTGGGTGAAGCGTGTTCGAATCTCAGAAGGGACATCAGTTTCTTTAAGATTGCAGATACGCTTTGCTGACGAGTGTCAACAAGCACAGAAACTAAGGCCAGGGCTTCCTGCCAATTGTCTCCAATACTCTAACATCAATTCAGTGAGTATTTCTGCACCATTGCAAGTGAATTTTAGCTAAGTGACGAAAGCTCTCTAATTATTCGTAGCTAACACTTAGAGGAAGTCAGTTTGGTCTTCTACACCATTAAGTTTCAGTTTAGTAACTTCAAGGTTCAATCGAAACTAATTCAAGTTCAGAAAATCTTGCATACCGCGAAAGGTGATACTTTGGTATGTACCACTATCAACAATACTATATACTGGTACGAGCTGTTATGGTTCGAGTAGAAGTCAGTATAAAAAGGGGTCCATATATATGAAAATAATTTAAACGAAATCCAAAAGTCTTACAAAATGAAAGGAAGGTTAAAACAAACAAGAATATAATAATAGTAACAGTAGTTAGGAAGGTATGAATTTATCTAGCCTACTGCAATTGATTCCAAATCATATCGTATCAACTAATTTATGCATTCTACTTAAGATTCTATGTCTCACTTCTATATTACATATAAGGCGATTTCATCAAACAAAAATTACAATACAAAAACAATAGTGATAAAATATTCGGAAACACAGCACAATTTATTCGTCGGTGTGCAGCTAGTGGCCACACCTATAACACAAGTATTTCGCTTGGGTACAACATATCTTTTGTATCTATGCTGAAATTTCCTCAACAAGAAGTCTACCAGGGTCTATGTTCCTTACTAGATAAGCGAAATGACTAAAGAATGTGAATGGCTTCTTAATCAGCAGTAATATTTATTTGGACACTTTCTTTATAACCAGACAGAACTTGTAATGAATGAAATAAACAATGTTTGGACAACCAGACAGTACTACAAGATAAACTTAGTTTTAGATGACCTTTGTGTTCAAACACATCGTGCCTTGATTGGTTGGAGGATTCCATTATGAGCTGACATCATTTAGAGAACCATTGGAAAACCAACTGGGAGTACTGCCAGACAGCTGTTTCGTCCTATTTTGGGGCTCTTCACAGTACGCACCCACCACTAGAGTTCGAACCCAGGACCTTCTGGTTACAAGGCGAGCTCGAACCATCAACATGACAACAGGCCCATGAATTCTAACTTCTGCCAATTCATGCCTTACCGAAAAATCCTCTTCCAAGTGGATGGATGCAAAGAAACCTATTTAGAAAGGTATGATCAAAAACCCAAAGTCTTACGAAGATCTCATCTACAAAAAAGTCTCTGAAAAATACGGTAAACAGCCTGCACAAATTCGTCAAGGTAATAGTAGTAAGCCAGTAGTCAGTTTGTGTATTATCAGTACGGCTACGATTTAAAAAGATGAACATGAAAAGTGAATAGCATGAAGTTGAAAGTGTTAAAATAAGGTTTTTTTCGAAGTACTGTTTGAAAGGGTTGTCATCCAAGATGAAATGGTTACAAACTTTTGAAAAATAAGATGATTCTACCTTTTCTGCTATCCTAAAATCCTGAATATTGAATTGCTATACATTTCTAATTATAATGATGTATTGAGGGTGAAGTGTCCTCACATCCTTACTGATGTGTTGTCCAGCTAGAACGCTTCCACGCACAACTCTGTAGTACTGTCATTGGCTTTCTGTGTACGCCAAAGTTACCTGACATTTGGAGAAGTGAAAAAATACAGCTTATCTAAACCGATACAAGTATATTACGTCATCAAGTAACTTATGTTCTCCAGATTAAATCATATACATAATATCAATATTTCTCATCTAAGGATACAGCTATAAGCGATAACCAGTAGGTAGTAAGATATTTGAAGCATTCTGCATTATCAACATTTAAAGTTTAAATTGCTTGTTTTGACCTAGTAAACTTGTACAGTACAAGATAAGATCAGTTTTTGTATTTTGAAGATCGTAACGATAAAGTAGTAGAAAAATGCCATATATTAGTATACTTTTAAAGTGTAAAAAGTAGAAAAAAAATTACACCAAAAAGGACTTTGTTCAAAACTATACCATGATTTAAAAGAATTCATAGTTAATTAAAAACATTCAGATTGAATTAGAGTTGGATAGGTGAATAAATGGTATTCTGGCGAGAAACAGCATATATATATATAATCAAAATATTTTTAAACTTTGACAGAAAAACCCGCGTAATTGGAGGGTTAAAATTATATTTCCTTCACAAAAAGATAATTAATTTACTTTTCTAAAAACATCTTTACTGAAGAATACCTATCTAAATGAAACCCATGTTCTGAGAGAACAATACAGCACGAACTTGGATTCTATGTCAGTGTCACATCAAATGACCAGTTATCAATTATGAATTTAAAATACTAAAAAATTTATACAGAAATTCCCCCTTATAAATCTGAACAGACAGAAAGATTTATTTTTGCTCGACTCTCATATTACACTGAATTTTTGATCCTCTGAATTCCGCTCACTGTATTACATCATCACCATCTTTTCACTCGACTTTGAACACACCAAATTTTGATTTTCCAATCCTATGAGTTCTAATCAATGTATTTTATTACCTCTGACTAAGTAATTATTACTGATTTATCATCGCCCGAACTTCACTCCTGAGGCAGCCTGCTCAAAACTTAGGCTTCCATCACTATATTGCATATAATTTATCCTGTTGTCTTTGTTTAAATTGATTAAAATATGGTCTCTAATGGTATTATTTACTCTTGAGAGTATTTAAAGTATTTACAACCTGCTGTTTCGCCAGTTTCCACTAAACTTGAAGAATAGCATAATCATGAGGACCAAAATATCCTAATACATGAGACAACTGTTCCTAAGGTATATCATTGGGTGTCGAAATGTACTTTTGGACATTTTTTAAAACACTTAACTAAGCCTGCCTTAACAGTTAAAGGATGAGATGAATTAAAGTCTAAATATCTATTAGAATGCGTTGGTTTTCTATAAACACTAGTGTGTAGTTTGCCTTCTTCTATTCGTTTTATTTTACAATCTAACATAGCTAATTGAAACCGAAAATGAGCAAGGAGAATTAGCTATGTTAGATTGTAAAATAAAACGAATAGAAGAAGGCAAACTACACACTAGTGTTTATAGAAAACCAACGCATTCTAATAGATATTTAGAATTTAATTCATCTCATCCTTTAACTGTTAAGGCAGGCTTAGTTAAGTGTTTAACAAACCGAGCAATGGCAATAAGTAGCACAAAAAAGACCTAAATGATGAAATAAAACAGATAGAAGAGGCGTTGGTTCTAAATAACTATCCTCTAAAATTCATTAGGAAGATTGAAAAACGCCAAAAGAAAAATAAAAAGAATTGTGAAACTGGTAATAATAACATAAATAAGAGAGAATATAAGTCATCCACTGTTATACCATATAAAGAGGGGACATCTGAGAGCCTACGTAGGATTCTAAATAAAGCAGGAATTAGGGTGGCATTTAAACCTACAAACTCACTCAGGGACAAGCTCTGTAGGTTAAAGGACCCAGTGGACCCAATTAGACAAAATAATATAATTTACAAAATACCCTGCAATGACTGTGAGGTCAACTACATAGGTCAAACTAGTAGGTCAGGGGTAGTCAGATCGTCAGAACATAAGAATTTAGCTAAGGTAAGAATGGTTGACCCAGAGAAGATAAGTAATTTAGAAAAAAGCTCGGCAATTGCAATGCATGCATTAACACACAACCACACAATAGGGTGGGAGAGGGTTAAAATTCTAAAAAGTAATCTAGGTAGGTGGAGAGAGAGGTTGATTACTGAATCTTTGTTCATCGAATCTACACCCAACACATGCAATAGGAGTGAATCATCACTCATACCTGAAATATGGAAAATAATACTACCAATCAAATCAAGTGAAAATCAAGTGAAATACAATGGAACTATATAAATGAATTTAGGAAGTCGTGTAATTAACTTGATATGATTATGAGCAATAAATTGTGCTCGAAACGTCATCAGTAAATATTACTGTATAACACTGTGAGACTCTATCAAAATAAAATTTACCCATAATGAAAGCTTATATATATATATATATTAATAATAAAAGATAACCTTATTATTCTTGTTTTCTTGCAACAATCCTCACTGGAGGACTGATTCACAATAAAAACGAAATGTATGTTACAATTGTATTATAACTTGTTTTGTTAAGTGTTATAAGTTGTACGCAGCTGAAGAGGACCGATGAAGTAAGATGGATCCATCAATGTTTATTCTATCTCTGTTCAAATTAAAACACTAAAATTGATTGCAAGCTCCTTGTTATCTCATTTTTAATTTCACGATGAATAAATACAAAGAAATACTTGTTTGCTCCAGCTATAATTAGCAACTTAATCTCACGACTGTACTGATAGATGAACACATAAGCAAATCAGAGATCATCTTTTAAAGGAATTATTGCCTAACCCAAGAGAACATCTATTTTCAATATGACTAAATTGCCATGGCAACCAAAACAGACAAACAAATCAACACACAGAAAAATTGTCACTAACCTCTTTTGTTGAATGAGGGGATGAAAGCAATTCTAAACCGCAATCTTTAGCTGTTGGTAGCTCTACAGAGTTTAATCGTAAAAATAAATCACTCATATTATCAGTTCCCTTCTCTAAGACAGAAGTTATCACAGAAAACATTGAACATAATTTTTCCGGAACTGAATGATAACGTCTGTACTTAGATGACTCAGAATTTGAATAATCTGGTGAGCACACAGTCTTGTCTTTTGAATCCTCCAGATAGAGATACGATTGCTTGAGCAAGTCTAATAAACTCAACAGATAGTAATTACTGACATCCGACTGTTTCAAAGCTTGTAAACATCTAAATAATATTTAGAAGAAATCACATTCAGATATACATAAAAAAGTAATTTATACTTGAAATATATCATGTTAAAATAATGAACAATAAACTATTAATTCAAATACACATTAAACAGCCTAAAAATCTCGAGATGAAAGACAAGAGAGGGATAATTCTCCTGTTCCATAACGACATTCAGAACGACTAGTAGATGGAAACCATTCATCATCATTCAGCACTACCCATGCTGTGATTGACATAGGAACATTCAATAACAGTATGAACACCTAGCCGATAGTCATATATGAATAAAGAGATAATCAGAAAGAAACAAGAAATGGGAATAGTATCTCACAATAAAGACGAAGCATATTCAGTCACCTGATTCTGCCAAAATCACGATATAGATATCGGGATAGCAGACACGTCACACTAGTTATTAGTGTCCAATCAAAGTACCCACTACAGTCCTACAGGAGGTCAATCGCGAGCCCGAATAGCTCAGTGGTAACGTCTCTGACTGCAGCACTGGGTGACGCGGGTTCGAATCTCAGAAGGGACATGAGTTCCTTCAGGGTTGCAGATACGCCTTGCTGACGAGTGCCAACTAGCACGAAACCTAGGTTCAAGGCTTCCTGCCGATTGCCTCCAACCATCTAATATCATCAAATCAATGTGCACCGTGATGGCGAGCTACCTAGAATGGTGGCCACATTGCAAACCTGACTGATAGAATTCAGTCTGCACCAAACAAAGGACTAGACACATCACACTAGTTACTAGTGTCCAATCGAAGAATTATCTTATTTTTCAGAAGTTTCTAACCATTTCATTTTGGATGACAGCCCTTTCAAACACTACTTCCAAAATCACCACGAATCAAGGTTCCCAAGAATGGAACATTCGGTAAATATTTCAAGCACTAGATAACCAAATACAAGAAGGACAGGTGATAAATTCGCCAAGGGAAAAGAGGCTAATGCATAGAAGTGTATCTTTTCAAAAGTAAATTATGAACAATATACTGTCTGAAAGCATGAAATGAAATAAGAGTTTCATGTTCAGATCCTGCATCCTTCTTTTATTAACTAACACTATGCCTTTTCATTTTCTGGGGAACGAAACGCAACGAATATGTATAAGTGTGGATTGGAAGTAGTGAAACTTACCAATTCTTCACCGAAGAAACTGCCTAGTTGATTTAGGATACACTAGGTAAAGTGTGGATTTTAATCAGTGACGAAATCGTCCAATAAATGTGATAAAATATTCATGGCTTTTTAATCCTAATTTTATGCTGATGATGTAAGATATAAAAACTGCTCAAAAGCATACAAGAGAGTTGCTGATATCATATATAACTTTCTTATTTTTGATCTAATACTTCCATGTTGAGTGTTGAACGATTACTCCTCTTTTTTGATTTGTAGGACTGATTGTAAAAGTTCCTTACTATGATTTTTTTATTCCTTTACGTCCCCAATGGGACATAGAGTTTCAAGCTAGAGTTTTGAAGTTTCGGTAGCAGTGATATTTATTTTTACGGGATGGGGTTTCTAGCCACATGCCTGACCAGTCTTATTATTGGCTTAGTGGGGTAAAGAAGTGCGTGTAACTATGATAGTGTTATTTATTTATTTTCTCTTTTGGTGAGAAATGCGAATAAACTTAAATTTATTTTGTTGTTTCGTCCCAGTTTGTGACTCTTCAGCAGTACGCACCTACCGGGGTTCGAACCCACGACCTTCTGGTTACAAGGCGAGCTCGTAGACCATTGAGCCACTGGGACCCGATCCAATAGCCCATGAATTCTAACTTCTGTCAATTCACGACATAGCGTGACCATTTCGCAATGTCTTCCTCGATGAGTTACTGCCTCATCTTCAACCTGCTGCACCCTACTGGTCACGACTTCCCACTAGAACCCCAGGTCAACTGCCTGAATAGGGCCAGTCGCTAGTGAGCATCAGATTAATTTTCAAGTATTGGTTTTGTTTGATTGGATGGAGGAGCTCGCCTTGTAACCAGAAAGTCCTGGGTTCGAACCCCGGTGGGTGCGTACTGATGAAGAGTCCCAAACTAGGACGAAACAGCTGTCCAGTACTCCCAGGTTTTCCAGTGGTTCTCTAACTGATGTCAGTTCATGATGAAATCCTCCAACCAATCAAACAAAATCCCTACAAAACCAATACTTGAAAATTAAATTTATTCTAATTTTTCTAGTGAAGGTCTACGATACACTAAAAACCAATGGATTAAGACTGTCGCTGATATGGCAAAAAATCGTTCTCATTGGTGCGGCAGCATTCACTTTTTGTTATCTCGCGAATCCATTAAATCCTCATTATTCTCCGTGTAATTATACTTTCTCCCGTATATTCCTTTTCATTATACTTCCTTCTCTAACTCTGTATGTGCTATATGAATTGTGACGACTTGAAATGCTGTAATTCTGTGCAAAATTCCTCGTTGAAAATCAGTGTTTTAGTGAAAAAGCAGAATAGACTTGAACTGAATGGGAATAATATTGAGGAAATATGAAAAGATGTCTCTTTGAAAAGCCTCTACTGACTGTATTTAGAAGACAAGATTATCGTTACAAGAAATCAGAAACTAACAACAGATAAGAGAAGATAAAACAATTGTGCAAGTATTTCAGTTTATAGGTTATCAGGGAAACAGGAGACCAACTGAAGTACTAATGATATTAAAATAAATTAAATATAATGAAATGAGTAGTGAACAAAGTGCTTAGAGAATAATCAGATTCTGTGTTTCTTATATGAAGACAGAATGGGCATATAAACTCCATTATATAAACCGCACTGCCGAAGTGAATGCTTGAGGATAACATCCATATCTGCTGTATATTTTGCTATTATGTGTCAAATATTTTTAGACGAATTCCAACTAGCTTTACTGATATCTTATTTATCTGTTTTCGACACAGAACTTTGCACATATGTGCGGCAGTTCAAGTCGCCACACTCCCTCCTTGTAGCACACAAAGCAAGAGAAGAAAGTAGGAGAAATGCATAGTATAGAAAGTAAACAGAGGTGTGAGAAAAAGGAATAGTATTAACGAAGAGCAAAACAGTTTCATTGGAAATTATAAGTCACAAGGAGTAGATGTATCTGCGCCATTGAGAACGATTTTGAGCCACATCAATTGTTCCAACCATTGGTTTCTACCGTCCCGAGGATCCCAACCAGGAAGTCTACACCTTCCTACGTGGCCGAGACTAACTGTTGTAGATTTCATTGACTGGTGCCATGTTTTGGTTTGACCACCGCTAGCTCTTTTCCAGCCTGACCCTATATCAGCTAACATTGCCCGTCGAGGAAGGCGATGACTAGGTATACGTAACACATGTCCTAACCATCTCAGTCGATGTGAGATGGTATACTTATACTATGTTCTTTATTTTGTTTCCTCTAAAGATACTATACATATATACGATGGTAGTGTATCCACACTTCCTTAGAGGTAACACTGGAATTTTATAAAAAATAAAGTACAATAATATAACCACGGAGTGAATAATGTCCGGAGAAAGAAACAGGCTACCTGAATAGTGTTGACACCCCTTGAATGTCTTTTTGAATATGCTTTCATATTTTGTTCAATATGATGTCCCTAATATTAAGTACAACAGTATAGCTCTTGGTGTTGTAAATAAATTCTCGACCGAAACTGAAGAAACCATCATCGGATGATAACCGGACGTCTTTCAAAAGTGTAGTATTTTGTTAATCCCTTATAAAGACGTTGATAATAAAAGCATAAAGAGTTGAAACATTTCAAGATTTATTTGTTGAGCAACACATAAAGGGTAAATTTCTTCATTCTTACTCTTTTTTACAAGTGTTGAGCTTACTGTTGTATATTCGTATGGCATTAGATATCATTCATATCATGATTATCATTCCATTGGGTTCCGAGTGAAGCATAGGGCTTCACCAGCACATCTCCATTTCACCCTGTTCTCTGGAGTTCTTTCTAGCTCCCTCCACGATTGCCCATTAGATTTCATTTCTTTCATACGCGATCTCCTTCATATCACCCTCCCCCGTCATACACCAAGCAAGTTGTCTTCCATTCGGGTTCTACTCGCGATGACCAGAGTAAGTCTAACTCATCTCCATCCTTTTCTACATATTTGTTGGGCAATAGTTTGTTGACAGGTTCACCCTAAGATCGCACTTGTTGAGTGTCCAGTTCTGGCTGACCATCTGATCTTCAGTATTAAGCCCACGAAAGCAGCTGGTGATAAAAATTTAAAGCCTGTTGGAAGTGACGCGCCAAGTTTCTGAATCATATAGAAGCACTGACTGGCTTTAACACCCATAACTACACTGCCTATGGCTGACTGAAACGATACTGATTAAAGAGAAAAAAATATATACAAGATGGCTACTTCCCTCATCAACTAGTGAACGTTTCCATTGAAATCACATATTCATAACAGATTTCTCAGCTTCCCCACATAACGAATTACTAGTCGACAGGATTAATAAAGTAAAAAAAATCAGATAAACAAGTCAATCAAGATTGAAAACTTTTTCAAAATATTTTATGGATGTAAACACTTTTCTCATCCTTAGTTAAATCTACAGTGATAAACAAATCAACGAAATATCTGAAACTATGTGAGACCGATGTTTGAAAAAAAAAGATGGATAGTTGTGAAAAATGATGTAAATTAAAGTTGTTTTCTAACATGTGACTAATGATGAATGAATTAACGTAACATTCTACTAGAACTATAAACATTTATAACAAACAGTATTTCATAATACTCTGATTATTCCAATTAATCCATTGTCTTATAAATATATATATATGAAGTTTAATGAAAATGTCTAGTAAGGAGCAAATCCTATTTTAGTACATTACAGGTTAATCAAAGCCTCAAATTACTTACTGATTTACCGGTTGTGAATTTAAATGTGTTATGAAACAGTAAAAATCAGTCGATGTAACGTCACAAACCCATTGACTGGCTTTCCCTAACACTTTACACTTAACCTCACTATTACCAACTATATTATACCCAATTAAGTGTGTTAGTCAACACGCTCAACCACTTCATTCCCTAGGAGTCTGTGCAGACCAACCCTGCAACATTATCTTACATTTGACGGAGCCGAATCGCATGCCAAACATTTTAAGATTATTGCACAAGGTGTTCAGAAGACTCTGCATTTTGTCAGTGTCAGGATAATATCATCCGCAAACACTAAGCCAATAAGACTGTTTTCTGATAACAAATCAAAGCCTAGGTCCCTATAGTCGATTAACTTCACATGCATCATGACACCTATGATGAAACTAAACAAAAATGGAGAAATTAAGAATCCCTGACGGACATTATTGATTTCCATTACTTCAGGTGACAACTTTCCATGGAGTCTTACAAAACTGCGTGAGTTTGAGTAGAATGCCTTGTTTATTGCGGCATAATTTCTTGCCATGACAGTTGTCAGTCGACAGGGTCAAATTTCATCTTCAGGTCACGAAACATGTCAGGTGTTGGACAGCAGTAACCATCACTGTTTTCGAGAATCTGTCGAAGAGTGAAGAAATGATCAGTATACTCTTTTTCTGAACAAAAGCCTGCGTGGTTTTCACAGACTTGTTTCTCCCGAGCACTGATTGGTTTACGCAGGGTTATTAACCTTCAGATATATTCAGATTGATCCCCTATGATTATCACAGTAAGATATGTCCCACTTTTTATAAACTGGGACAACCATTGTTTTGCACCAGTCTACTTGAACTGCCTCAGATGCCCACACATAAACTAATATCTTACTGACCCAGTCGACAGTTCATTAACACCATTCGTAATCATATCAAATTTAGTTACCTGGCCTTGTTTTAAATTGGAGACAACTTTAACAGTCTCACTTACAGTTGGATGGCTGAAATCTACACTCCATTCACGTAGGTATTGGATGCTAGGACTTATTTTGTCTCTAGGCCAGTTTAATTGCCCCACAAAGTAAACATCCATACTACTCAATACAGCACTTGATAAGAAAAGTGGAACGAAGGCCCCGCTAAGTGCTATGTTATTGCTAAGTTGGTAAATTGATGAGTCACTGACCTAAATTATATCGGGACCAAGATATACAATTACCAGTCATCACGGTCCATGCAAATTAAAAGCACCCTCAGAGTAATTAAACTGCCGCTTATAAGAGTACGATTGCTTTTACAGATCATATATCAAATTATAAACACATTAAGATTCAATCTGTAAAATATGAATAACCTCGATTTTGTGCACATTGGCACTCATCAGAAAGGCGTATCTCTGATTTTGAATAAAACCCACTTTTCCTACAAGATTCAAACCAATTAGTGATTTAAATAGCTTGGTACTAACTCCACTGGGTTTAGTACACAGTAATGAAAATTCGAACTATGAAGAAAATGAGTTTTCAACAAGATTGTGTCGTTACGCCCTCTCACAAAGTGCTAACAAATATGCTGTCTATAGAAAGGGTTTTCTACTGGCTAATTCCTAGCGCCTAAGATCGAATTGCAGTGCATCCACACTGTTATGCCAGTTTAGTTAGTTTATTAACCATATGGTACAGATAAATGTTTTTTATAAATAAGATAGAAAGATTGACAGTATTCAGGGTGGACCATAGTTAAATGATTGTTATTCATGTGAAAAACTAAAATCAGGATTTTACTTAAGATCTATACTAAGATAAACAAGATAATCATTAAGAAGTGAACAACAAGGAAGTGAAATGACTATCCAATGAAATAGCTTACTTGGAAACGACACATATTAGGACTTTGACTTGTAAACTCAGAGGAAATCTAACCAAATTAAAACCAAATGAGCAAACAGACGATCCATAACTAAAAACACGACTCTGAATGCATCTTAAATACGACGGCGGAGGATTTGTGCCTTTTTTGATTACTAAGCGTAATGATGCGGGAAATGAAGAATTGATAGCTTCGCATAGATTATCTTGACATGCACGACAATTAGCGACATTTAATCCAATACCGGAATAAGGAATTACTTTTCTGGGAGTAGAGGATCTAGTCAATTTTGGTACGTTTGGATTAGAGCTTGGATCAGTGGAATATTTTCGACAACCATCTGATTCTTCATTTACTTTACGGTATAAAAAGGCATCAACACTGGGCAAACGACGAATACGCGTTACATTGTTACGTTGTTTTGATCGCGAAATGTTTGAGAATTCTCTGGGAGTTTGATGTATACGGCAAGCGATGAAACCTAGTTAAAAGATACGTTCAAATTAAAAACAGTTGAATTAAATCTATAACTCATGATCAATTTTTATCAAAGCGATATTAAAAGAGCAGTTTTTAAAAAACTCACGACACTAATGAACGAGACAGAGATCATCGGAGGAATGTTACATGTTGTACAAATTTTGACCAGAATACAACCTATATAACAACAGTAGTACATTCCAATATTTCGCTCATACGAAACGATACAAACAAATGATTTTTTATAATTACTCAACAAAACTACCTTATCACACTGATTACGTACCAGATCAAATCATTATAACATTACACTAACCAGGAAGTGTTTCAACACAGAGATACCTAGCCCTATGACAACTTATAATTGAAGGACAATTAAAGACATTCTTCTTTCTCAGAATACCTGAAACAGAAAGAGTACTAATGCTACTTGAGTGCGGAGCCCATGGGGAAAATACCTGAGGCCAGTCACACACAGCCTGTTTGATTCGGTTTTTGAAGTTACGTTTGTATTTAGATCTTACCGCCGAAGGAGATTTAGATGCACATTTGGGGTTGACCTCCGCTCCAGAGCAAAGAGGCAGAATAGCTGGCGTGCTGGTCATCTGAGGGAAACACCTAACTGATGTTACATCCCTATCTGACAGCAGTACAACTTCACCCACAGACCCCCAACATAGTGTATACAACTTACATTATGATGGTGACTACTTTTAGTCTAGTCGATATCCAAATAACCTTTCCGGTATGGTAGGATCTGCAGGAACATTAGTTCCAGCTAGTGTAGCTCGTTGGATCATTGCAATATGCAAACCCAACCACAGCGTCAAAGTAACAGCCATCGGTCGGGAAAGACATAACAAAACTCAAACCACTACGAATATTAGGCAGGTGAACGAATGGATGTTTCGATGGGAAGATTTTTCTTTTATTGACAGTACAGTCGCTCTAATTAAATAAGTTTAACTTCTAGTTTATTCATCAACCAGGTGAAAATGAAATACTCGCTTGAGAACAACAATTTTAATTTGTCTGCGATACTTTCTTCGTTTTATAAAAACAGTGTTTTAATTCATAATTAATCTGCACTAATGTGACACTTTACAATAACGAGAGTTGTTAATTTACTTTAACACTTCACTTGTGTACATAAATTAGGACAAAATTTCTTCAGCGCAGAAATAAATGACTCATTAGTCTTGCTGAGTATTGCCCCACATATTTCATCAATAAGAAATCGTATGGTCTTTTAATGAGTAATATAATACGCTTTGTTTTAACTTATAGATAATGAAATATGATCAGCAGAAATTTCATACAACTGATTCAACTCTATACACTTCAGTAAAGCAAGAACAACAATTCTGCTTTTTTCAACTTCGTTCAAACTAAAACTCATATAAATCTGCTGAAGAAGCTGTGGCTTACACAGCCAAAAATTCAGAAAAATCTTGTTTTGAATTTTCTTAAACACGCTGGGATTAATTTAAATAATTTATAATGAAAACTCATGATAGTTTATTATGTTTTGCGTCGGTGGCACAGCGGTTAGGACGCTCACCGACCATGCACATGGTCCGGGGTTCGATTCCCGGCCACTGACGCACTCCTTTACCTCGCTAAGCCAGAAATAAAGCTGGTAAAGAGGGAAGGTTGGGCATAAGGCTAGCAACCCCATCCTGTAAAAATAAACTTTGCTACAGAAACTTCAAGCCTCTAGCTTGAAACCCTATGTTCCACTGGGAACGTGAAGGAATAAAAAAAAGTTTATTATGTATGGAAAAAACAATAATTCATACAGCTTAGAAATTAATCAGAATATAGTCCATTAATGAAGATTATTATATATACATGCTAACCAGACTTTGTCTAGCCCATAAGCACTTTCGTTCTGATTATAACTGTGCACGCTATTCAACAATGTATACCATATTCTAACTAATTATTAAGATGTATATAGCTTATTGCTGCTAACTTGATCTGTTATGTTCGATTTCAATACATTCTCCGCTTCTCTCTGTTATATAATTTTTAAGTAATTAAAAAGATAACCCAGTCACTGAAGAGAACTTCTGAACAGAATAAAACTGTTATAACTGAACCAATTAACTGACTTACCACGAGTAATTAAAAACCGTAAGGCATCATCATAACCTTGGGTGGCTAGATTAACCAGCTGATCAGAATTCATTGGCCATACCATCCCAATGAAGCGTTTAATATTTGTTAGATTTAAGCGCATTGTAAGATTCAACAATGTAATTGAACCTAATACATCTTCATAACCTTGTGGTTGTGCATTGTTATACTGTGGATCACATTTTGACTCCAATGGACATATATCTGCGTCACCGGCAAATGGACTAACTCGAATTGTCTGTTGATTGATGTTAAGCAGATTATCTGATAAGCCTCCATCGACGACAAGCTGAAAAAGGAAAATAAATAGACTTCACCAGTGCATAACGCTCAGATATTTGAAAAGTACTGCTATGAGTATATATATATATATAATTTCAGAAAAGACAGTTAAAAAGGCTGCAAGTAGTGAGGTAAACAATATTCCGAGGCCTACATCTGAATAGATAGGCCACGTAAACCCGTCTTGGAGCAAAACCAAACATCTCAAATAAATATGAAGGCACTTACTCCCAGTTAGATGTACAGTAATTTTACTACACCTATAGCTGGCTTCAGATACATTAAAGAATATGAGCGATGGGATTAAAAAAGAGTTAAAAAGTCCGAGTTTTAGAATTAAGCACATTAGGATCAATAATAATGTATATTTCAACAAATATATAAACCGTCAGATGGACATATACAGTCTAAATTTCGCTACAAAGTATGAAGAACACATGGAGTGTGTTGGTTTCACAAAATATTCACAAATACTTACACATAAGAAATACATATTGGGTTATTTGTGAACTTGAATTACTCATTAATGTTTGGATTCAATCAGCAGGAAACCATAGTCTAAGATTTTAAAAGTCATCAATGTATATTTAAGAGTAAAAGGAGGTAGCTATATCAGCAAACCACATCCTTAAAATTATTTAAAGGAAAACACGAAGATATAGAGCATTATCAACTCTATTACTGACATAGGATGAGAACTTACTGGAACACTTCAGTGTATATATTGGAAACATGGTATATGTATATTTCGTTGTATCAAGGCAGGAATAGGCAGATTCCATGCCAGAAACCAAACATTCAGAAATAAACATCACCATAGTATCAAAGTGAAAAGTGTCAACTTGATATTTACACTTCTAAGAATTATTCTGTCAATCTATAGCATAAAATCTTCTATGCTGGTTTTTGACAAAAATCTGGCTCACTGTTTCATTCCTGGTCCTCAAAGGAAATTTGATTACCTAACAGAATGGTAGGGTATTGAAGAGTATTCTGCTGTGTATTACTCTATGACTTTAGGAAACAGCCAATGAAGCTGAGTACAAATTTTTGATAGAAGGTGTGTTCATTGTATGAATTGCACCTTTGTAATAGACCTAGTGATTAGCTGTACTTATTCAAAAAATTGTAAGTTAGTACACCTGTCTTTCAAGTAATTCGTCTGATCTTAACATAGTGGTGATTTATTGACTAGTGGTATCATTTCAGTCATCTTTCCCTCCTTGAGATAGTCTAATAATTTGTCTCTCCATCGGAGGTGCAAATTCTATCTACTGGCAATATCTAAACAAAATAATCCTTATAATATCTACGAAACATGATAAATCTAAAACCTGGTTAGCTTCACGTTTAGTTCCTAACACTATAAAGTGGAACTACAGAACTGTTACAATAGTGTACACAGTGTTATCGTATTGTTTGAAACATTTTTAGTATAATGCTGTGAAAATGTGTAACAAAATCTAACTAGACAGATTTGAATGGATTTATTCAACCAGATTTTTTAAACTCTCACTATGCAACTTGTGAACTAACGTCTACTGAGCTAGCGAGAAACTAAAACTGTTAAACAAGTCACTAGGACGTCCTTAACATACGACCTACAATGGGCATCTTTACTGTAAACTAATAACAAGAGTCGTTGAATGAATAAATAACTTTAATATAGAGGGGACTAGTTACAGTCCACATATCATTGGCTTGTTCATACATGCATCCTTAAGTTTTACAAAAAAAGGAGAAAGACTTCGTTAAAAATAATATCAACTTGTGAGATTCCTGAAGTGTCATAGTAAATAGCCTTCCCGTCAAGTGTAAAGGAATACACACAGAGAGCATTAGTCTTTAGGCCTCAGTGTGTTCAGTTAATCCTCTTTGTCACAGCAATTTTTAGCCTCTTAGCTTAGTGATCATATTACACGTTTGATTAGCAAACCTCAACCAATACTTAAAATTGGACAATCATATTAATCACTATCCAGCGACCTATTCATCTGCCTTCATAGACACCCACGGAAGGGATGCAAATAAAAAAACTTAACATATAAAACCGGAGCATACCTGTTTCTGGCAATTACTTTGTTTTCACTTATCCTTGGAAAGATGTTTTTACACAAAGAAATGCCCTGCTTAAAGCGTTTCCCTTTTCTCTTTAAAATATAGGAGAATAGAAACTGATTAAAAATGCCCATTAAAAATTCTCAAGTATTGGTTTTGTAGGGATTTTGTTTGATTGCATGGAGGATTTCATCATGAGCTGACATCAGTTAGAGAACCACTGGAAAACTTGGGAGTACTGGACAGCTGTTTCGTCCTAGTTTGGGACCCTTCAGGAGTACGCACCCACAGGGATTCGAACCCAGGGCCTTCTGGTTACAAGGCGAGCTCGTAGACCATTGAGCCACTGGGACCCGATCCAATGGTCCTTGAATTCTAACTTCTGCCAATTCACGACATAGCGCGACCATTTCGCAATAAAAATTAGGAATTACATTAATATAACATTCAGCTTATTTTTATGTCGATGCTATTGAGCTGTAATCTATCAATATTATTCATTCGATGTTATTCTAACATTAATGTTGTTCATAACACTAATTCATTCATTCATTATTATGTATTTATAACTGTAGAGCCCGATGATGAAGTTATCGAAAAGAATAGAAACTGTTGGTAGTACGTTGTTAATCACAAGTCTGTTATTACTTTAGCCTTCTTCCTTTAATTCTTTTTCTCCATGACCTGAAACTTTCTGTAGCGTTATAATAACAATAATGATAACTTAAACAAATGAAAAGTCACAGTTGTTGCTTACTGCAGTAACAACGGAGAACGAAAGCATTTGCATAGCAAAACTTTACCAACTCACCTGACCTCTGAATGATAGTGGAACAAATCCACTAAATATTGGAATATACGCAGAGCAAAGCAAAGCCTATAAGATAATGGAGAATAATGTTTAAATAAATTTAAAGCTAACTCTGATCAATTCATCTTTATCCTTGAATTGTCGAACGATTATATTCTTTCTTGTAGCAAAACACGTCAATGAAATAGACAGACGATTAGAACACAAAATATGAGCATCTGATGGTAATATTTTTGATAATCCTTCTCTTAAATGTTCATTTACTTTAAACCGTGGATCGAATGGACCAAGTGTATACCATTTGGCATTTTCAACAATTTTGCAAAAATACTGAACACACGTATCTATGTAATATAAATAAGAGTAATACTTTTTTGTTACACCTTACCCATATCTAATTCACATATAAGACAAGCTGCAGCTATTGCACCAGCACTTGTCCCAGACACTGGTTTATTTTGGTACAGTTGAGGGGCAAACTGTTTAATACAACAACAAACACCCACATGATATAATCCAAGAAAACCACAGCCAGCAAAAGATAAATTATGCTTTGAGCTTGCACTATCACGATAATATCGATCTTCAATTAAATCAATTTCGGAAACAGAATTTATCCTTTCCATAGTGAGACAACTGAGCAATTTCCATTGAATTCAAAATTACCTGAAATTTAATTTATTCAGAGAAACAGACAAAAATTGACATTCATTGTACTAAACAAGACAAATACTTATTGAAATTATTAATCTTTGAACACTTTCTCAGACAATTAAATTTCTAATTTAGTGAGTTTGTGAAGGATTGAGAGCCCACGAAAGAAAAGTGAATTCAATCTATCCTACAATGTTTATTGTTCTTGCTTTACAAAAAAAAACATTACTTTTCACTTGGTACATTCATATATAAGTAACAGCTATCTCCGCTACACGAATAATAACAAGGCATCTGAGTTGCACTACAAAATTTTTCATTTACTAAACTACGACCTAGTAATAACATTAGGCTACTCGAGATGTGAGTTTGAACTCCAGATCCGTTGAATGAATTTTACTTGCTTGAGCAGTGGACACTTTTGTCAATTCAGCAGTCGTCTATAGATAACATACATGTTGTTTACAAAATCAAAATGAATTTAATAAATACTGATTACGTGAAGGCCTTCATCAAAGAATGATTAGAGATTCCAGATCATGAAAATCAGTACTGATATAACGCTGAGTGTAAACTAGTCAGTTGTACATTCAGGAAAGTTGCAATTACATATTTAGCTGTGGGAAGTGGGCCTCCTGGATAATGCTTGCTCTCATATACGATCTGGCAGGGCTGATGGTGTGAAAACTCCGGTCTTTATCTCAAAATGCTCTCATATGTTCAAGTGTTTATGGTCTTTGTCAGGTAAGTCCTATTCTCTGCCTTTACTCGGTAGGGTGTGTTCCTCACATACGTGAAAGGGCGAATGCGAACGCCTGGCACTTACAACCGACTGGTAGACATTCTGGTCTATGCACAGAGATGCAAAACCCTGATTCCATAGGCCCCAGAATCCGAACGGATCGAATGGCATATGAACCTATTTTGGTCACCAGAAACTATGAGGATGCAGCTCCATTGCCTAGTGGATTACACTTCAAGCTGAAAGCTCAGCGGTTGCCCCATAAGACAACCTACTGCATCTGTCAGGGCGTTCGGGCAGTAACCCAGTCCTCGCAATAATGAGATGTTGTGTGGCACATCTTTTATTGCCCATAAAGTACCAAGTTTGCGTTTTAGTAATACATAATAACATAAGCTTTCGGAAGCCAGAAAATATTCAAAGCCTTAGTTGATAACCTGGACATAAAACCTGTTTTAAGTGAAATAAATCTTTCAAGTGACATACTAAAGATGTCGCAGAAATAGAGAAAAGATCAAACTAATTTTCTGAAAAGACAATTACAATAAGATAAGTGAAATTCTACAATTTCTGTTACGGTAAATAAGACCTTAAATTGGTATATGTCCATGAACACTTCTCATACAACAATATGAACAGGTTTAGTTGATAACCCTTAAATGAGAAAACGAACACTGTTGTCTATTCGTTATTTAAGGCATTTTGAAATTTTTAAACGAATAAGTTAAAAATCAATAAAAAGTACTTAAACTTCAAAATTAAGTTTTAACAATCCTGAGCGAAAAGAAATATTATTTCGTTAAATCTTTCAGAAAGTGGAATAGGGTGTGTTGGTCCCCCACCTAATAGAGTTTCTTTTAACGCATGCGTAGGTGGGACTGTTTACTATTCAGCAATTTTATAATGAAATAATAATTGATCAATTGATTTGCAGCCCAACATCAAGCCTCACTGCATTAAAATAACGTGTTCGACTCTGTAGCATTTTCAAACAGAAATATTCACTAAGTACAATTTCATATTTTATTTACCTTGCGACATAAACGACTATAAAATCTAGTTTTATTAAATTGGTAACAGTCATGCAAAAATGTTATAATAAATATATTAGAAGTATGCAATGAAACTGCAAATATAGAAGTATAAGAAGGTCATCAACACAAGCGAAATCCACCGGCTACCTTTTAGGATACAGATAACATCTTATTTGAGGAACTGCCGGGATTATTTTAGGTATACTCTCTCTCTACTTCGGCTATCTCCTACGGAAGGATGAGCCGGCTTCATGAACATCTCGAATCATCGCTGCCCAGGCGCGGCGATCTGATGAAGAGAGTTCATGAAGTTTCATGGGAATTTGGTACGAGTGATGTCCCCAGAATCGCTCGGCACTAACTTATCCACCCAAGACTTTGCACAAAACTGTATCAGTTCAAATCGTCACATTTTGGAAAAACACACATATAAGTAGAGACAAAAAAGTTTGATGAAACTGAAGTGGATACACAATAAAACAATAGAAAGAATAGTTTGAAGATTAGTGAGAACTTTTAGAATCTGCAAGATGATAAGGCATGGGAGACTTAACGTCTTATCACTCAAGAAGGAAGTTATTATTGTTTTCGTAATCTACTCGATAATCATTAGTGCTTAAAATAATAATAATCACCATTTCAAGTAATACTTTCTATACAGTTTTGAATTATCATTTGTTTTAAATTGTAATAAACAAAATCTTCTCTTATACAAACTCAAAAAAAATAACCACAGGAGATTCAATGAAACCAATGACAGCTTTAACCAAGATATAAATGATCAATGAGTAATGGCCAGAAATAAACAGCTGTTTATCTATTCAGTTAACCAGGCAAACATAAACTGTAATGAAATTGTAGCTAGTTTTCCTTAAGAGAAACAAAGATAGTTGTGTATAAAGGGGTGTTCAGTATCCTACAAGATGACTTTAACCACCCACATGCATCAATTCGAATGTCTGTCAATAAGTGTCAGATGCACACCAATAACTATGCTAACTGTCAGTTTCGAAAATAACCAGTGGCTTTATACCACTCGGACATTACAAAAAGAGTTATAAAGTGATTCACAGAAGGCGTGGATTCTCAGTAAAATGATTACACGTTTAAAATGTCCTGATACACATTACAGACAATCAGAGGTAGTATTTTTACCTTCAAACCATTCAATAGGACTGCTTTTCGGAATTATGTGACAGAAATATCCCGGAGAAGCATATCAACAACTAGAAAGTCCTATACAAAAACATCTCAGATATGGTAAGGGCACATAATCATATTTCACCACTGGTTCAATACACAAATGAAATGATGGAAAATTGGGTGATTTCACCACTAATCTAACTTTGACATCAATGATATTTTAGACACAGTGACTTTGGTCTAATGCACGGAGAAAAACTATCCGATCTTGAGTATGGAAATATGGTCCCATTACGCACAATATACAGGTTTCCATATAACTTAATAACTGTTTGTACGCATGGTGTAGTTCTAGACAGTAAAAAAGCAAAACATTGCTTGCACTCGCCGTCCCAGGTCAGAAGTTAACAGTAGTTTACGTATTTACATAGTTGTGAGAGCTGAAAAGTGTGGAGCATGAGACTTTTGATCGCAAGCAGGGAAACAGATGAAACTGTCTCAACTCTACCATCGTAGAAATAAAATTTTATTCATCAAAATATAGGCTTAAAAGTATTTGAAGTTAACAATCCTGACATACCTGCGAAATCTAGTCACACATATGACGATATCAGTTAACTAAATACTCGATCATTGCAGCCTAGGAAGGTTTGTGTCTGGTGTCAATATTATTTACGCAATTGTGAGGTACAATAGAGCATTTGGAGAATGTGAACATCTTTCAGTAAGTCCAAATATCGACACTGGCTTTGATGTGTCACAAACATCATCCCAGTAGCTTTTACATCGTTTAATAAATGCTAGCTGTTAGACTGGTTGCAAGAAATTAAGAAGTGGTCCGATCATGATGTGGTACCATGAGATAAGTAGTAGTGTTAATTAAGAGTCTGCATCACAATATTTTGCGTGGAATCAGAGAAATGATGCAGTCCAGTGGCTGAGGATTTTATCAGACATATCAGAATCGAAATCCACCAAAATAATGCTACAGGTTCCATGTTTCTTATACTACAGAAGAGCAATAAATGAACGATACTTAGTGAGATGGCCTGCATAATCACCCAGCTATCAGCTTTTTACATGAACTTTCATAGGGTATTATTCAATAACTATGATGGAGTAATTTCGTGTTAAATTAAATAAATTAACACCCTATTATCTCACTGATATTTAATATATTTCAAAAATATTTAACGACATTAATCACCTCCACATTGCATAAGCTGTTTCAAAACAACACGAGGATAACTTGATATAAAACGTCATCCAGTTGATAACATTATTTCATGTCATACTAAATTATCTTATAAAGTATAGAGTTATAGTGTATCATAGGCCACATATTTTCATTTATGTAAAAATAGCTCTTCGTATGAAAGGTTGCAGTTATCGTAAACGTTAAGTCCTTAGGAGCTATATCTGAGATACGTTGGGTAACATTGCTAGTGATTATTGAACAATCTCAGCTAATCGCAACACTGGTTTGAATAGACAATTGGGGTGTACTGCTCTCACGAGACTCATATATTTTGTAATTGGAGTCTCAATTATGATGACTGTCTGGATGTTTAAGTAAGTATTAGCAGATTCAGCACAACATTACCATGCACACTAGTAGCAGGAATTGAGAAGACAAAGGGTGCTACGTTGGAGCAGACAGAAATCCCCCAGCTTTGGTAAGGCCAGATTCGGTGACCTATTATATCTTCTAATGTTTCCTTGATATGAGACAAACTTCATCTGAGACAGGTAAGACAATTAAAAACTAGCTGGGAAAAGTTAGTGTCATGTTCCATGGGATGCGAAAGCACGAGTAACCTTACGCCGACCAATAATAAAAACAGGTGATTTTTACACGAAAAATGTTTATTTACAAAATGAATTAAATACATTAAACGGCGTATTTTTCTCTAACATGTCTTAAAAATACGTCCGAGATATAATGAGGAGTGTCATTTTTTAAAATAAACCATATATTCATCAACGTGACTGGAAATAGGTTCGTTTTGCGGGCCGTTTATTGTACCTATCTTGTTTTTCAATCTACCCAAGAAGTCCTCGACTGTAATACTATGGTTGCCAGTAACAGGATCGAGGACTCCTTACTACGAAAATGTAAATAAAACTAATTAAAATAAATAATACCAGCCCCAAAACTAGCCATTATCCTTACCCTAATGCCTACATTAACCATAATCCTAACCCTGATGAGCTATTAACACATTGTCCAAACATTACTTAAAAACGTGATCTGGATGGAATTTGCTCCTTAGATGGTGAATGGCGCTATAATAATGACAGGTCTCATTATCTAACGCCCAGCCTGTGTTCCAGATCATTGGAGCGTTCGCACCCTTGGGACGTGATACTTCGCCACTAGCTACCTAGCCAGATGACTCTCAGAAATGAAAACCGTATAAACGCTTTGGACTATGTGCCTCCCTAACTATTGTTCTAGTTAAGTATTAGTGGCATTTTCTATCTCAATAATCATTCGCTTCGTCCGTCAATCTGAGATGGTTTGAGTTCAGAAATAAAGTTAGAACTTCAGTTGAGTTGTAACTCACTGAAAACAAAAGAAATATAAAGAGATATATGAATACGTATTAAAACTCCGACTAATTCAGAAATGTATTGGAAACTATACGTGTCTTGTCTGAAAACTTGACACTGGCTATTTTCGAGGAAAATCAAGGGACACTTTGACTCTCCTAACACACACCTAAAGATTTTTCGGATAATATGCTGCGCAGTAGGCATGAAATTTTCCCCCATAATTTCCCAAAAAAGAGCCCAAAAAGACAAATCAGTGAATAATAGGCATGGCCGAAACAAGGGATAAGTGCTTATATCCCCTACAATATCCAATTTTGACCAAAACTCGACCAATATTTTACAAATTTAACCATAATTTAAAAAATATTTAACCATTATCAAATCTGTGTTTTCTTGTAATTTAACTAATATCCAGTTAGAATCTAACCAATGTTTTTAATTATTTAACCACTGCTTTCTCATCTTAAAAAGTTGATTTAGCAGTATTTTCTATTTTAAACACTATTTAATCTGGATTTGCACGTTTTATTACTAGCATTATTATTTGACCTAAATGTGCCCCTTTTGGGCGACTGCATGCACAAAGTTTTTACTGGCTGCACTTAGAAGGATAATGTTTATCATTATTACATATATATTGTGGCATTATACATTTATTGATCAACTTACTTGTAATTTTTAAGGTTATCTTGAAGATGGATTATGTGATGACTGAGCTTTAGAAGTTAAACACTAAAACAATTTACAGTAACGCATACCATTAAAAACTATTCCACTTGCCCTTGAATTTGTTCAATAGCTTAAATATGCTAGCTCCTTAACGCTGTAAATAGCCATATATTTTCGATGAGTTTCGATGTTACTGATTCAATCAACACAATGAAATGGCCTTAGTAAACACAACAGATGCTACGATAATGGGAGAACTTATACTGTAACAGCCACCCCGGTACATCACCTTTGTCTATCAGTGAGAACTGCAGGTTGTACAGTGAAACTAATTATGAGGTGGGTTTAGAAACAGAATAAGAATATCATCGGTTCGAAGGACATCACAGCCAGTAGTTACAGACAATTTTGTAACTTCTATTGCTTCTTAATTCTAATTAGTTGTTCGAGGTCATTGGTAAAGTAGTTTAGGGTTGCAGATATCGACGTTCGCGAGTTGTACGGATTATACTGACGCAAGATCTTATACCAACAACTTCTATAGTGTTCGTTCTTCGAGTACCAAATGGTAAAGCAAAAGACCAGATTTTGTCGTCCAAAGTACGTAGTATATTTCGGGACAAAATCGCGGGTAGAAGTGAATGCTTAGCTAGCTAGTAATCGTGCACGCACGTGACACGACGGAGTACCAAATGGCGGGGATGCTTGACCGGAAGCCTTCAGCTAAACAAGTCGACTTAAACAGTGTTGGTCAGCATCCAGTGTTGAGTGATGATTGCTGTGGTTAATAATTTTGGGGAATTATTTACCGCTGCAGTAGGTTAGGCGATCAAAGAAGTTTGTAAAGCCAAATGGACCTCGTTCGTTTCCCTGTCAGCGATGAATGTGTTCATTCGTACTAAGTGAAACTCATGGTGGTCAACTGGATTTTCAAGGGGAAATAGCTGTGATTGTATATCTCTACACTCGTTTAAAATCAACTTCAATAAATGCCCCTTTGGGTGGCGGTAAGAGTTATATTCTCCCTTTGCTAGTTAAGGCGATTTTAACAGCAGCCTGGCCACTAGGTAAGGTGGGCCAGGCTAGCCAGGTAGTGTGTCCAAAGCTCAGGTCTACGAGGATAGACGGCCAGTCAGTAATCCACACCCGTTACCCGGATGACAAACATGAGTTACACTCACCGAGGGCCTATCATGGTGTCACTTACAACAGTCAAAGCTCTTATTCGGTGTGAACCAATGTCATTCATGATAATGACATCAACATTTCACTCAAAAGGAAGGAAGTTTACAATAATCCAATGCTACGCACCTACGAACAACTAAAAACAAGGTTAGAATGAAGATTTCGATAGACAATGGTGAACAGCTGTGGATGGCATCTTAAATAGCAACATCGAAATTCTTATTGTCGATATGAACACTAGAGTGGGAGGGGAGAGTACAGTTAGAGAACTCATCATGGGTCGAGAGACTTGGAAAGATGAATGATAGTGGAGAACTCTTCACAGACTTCTGTGCATTCAGTGATTTGGTGATTGGAGGCAGCGCGTAGAGGCACAAGGAAATCCACAAGGCAACATGGATTTCATCTGATGGATGCACTAAAAACTCAGATGGACTTCAACTCAGTTTCAAGAAAGTGATGCCTTCTGGGTACAAATTTGAGAAGAGGAATAGACGTGGACTCGAACGATTGTATAGTACAAGGAACATTTAAGGTCAAACTGTAAGCGGACATGACAGCTAGAGGGAGACCACAGTTCAAGTTTAACTCCCAAAAACTGAAGGATGAAACTACACTGGACGCATTCACTGCAACCATCACAGCGAAGTTGGAGACACAATGTAGCATCACATAGGAAAACTGTGTGGAAGCATACTGGAAATCCCTGAAAGTGACGTCAAAATAAGCCTGTATGGACATCCTTAAAGGAAGGCAATGCCACGTGAAAGGTGACTGGGAGAAAAGGGATAGTGATACACAAGTTGAACTACTACAAAAATGAGCAAATGAAGGAGAAGCTATATTCAGTGTACAACCCTCTAAACTAGGAAGTGGAGAAGAGTGCTAGGAAATACAAAAGACAATTCTAAGATACATTGAAAACTGAAGAGGAACAGGATGTGGCAGTCTATCAGATTACCGGGTGATTATCAAGAGAGATCAAGATATATGTGACCATCCCTAGTTAGTGAAAAAGGAGGACCAAAAGGGACAGTGGGTTGAGCATTTCGAAGAACTCTTGAATGAAATGAATAAGTTGTGGGTTTGTGGTGAGTGAAAGCAGTTAACTGGCGACCATCAACGAACTGACGAAAGTGTCTGATGGAAGCACAAATGACAGGGAGTTCACAGCAAAAACACTATATTGCATTTCGCATGCAGATAGCTTTAGGGAAAAGAAAGCTAGAGATGTCCATGTGTTATTCATGAGTTGCTGTGGGACAGCTGCTTTAGCCATGTTAGGTGCATCAATCAAAATGCTGAGGGGAAGCTTAATATCTAGATGCAACAACACATTTGCGTATGCAATAGCCATTTTGATTTTCTTTAGTGGTTCCAGTGTGTTACGATTACCTCTCATAAAATTAGTCACTGCCGTCAAAACATGCACGCATTGTAGAATATAACGTGGGTAGTGACTTACCGTGCCAAGATGTTGGCACTAGGAAGCTGAATTTCTCGAACCTTTCCAGCTTGACCACACTTGACACTTGGCTGGACTGACTGTTATGAGTGTTACAGCCACTGCATAACTGTGGGAAGATACGAACTCGCAGTCTTCGACAAAAATACAAAACAAAACCAAATTATTCTTAACATAATCACATTGACAACACACTGTTAAGGAACTGCAAAATTTATTGTTCGACTTAAGAAAATGTATCACAAGAACACGTTAAAAACCTTCAGATATGAGGTTATCCAGCATCCAAACACCAAGAGCCCAGTGACCGGACGCAAAACGCCTCATGGTTAGCAAAAATGCGCATTCAAACAGTAAACGTACATAGTCCAGTGAACTACAGTCTGTATATCGTAAATCGTGAAATGGTGTATAAAGTACAAGTTTAGTTTTTGAAGGTGCAATATTAGACGTAAAACCGAACGTTTTGAGAGTTGGAGGAAGATTTGTCGTGGACGATCACCATAGGTTTTCTCATCTAGACTAGCTATCACATTGTCGTCCAGATATGCAATAGCGGAGACAGGTCCACGTAAGACATCATGAATGAAATAGTGAAACGTCTGTGAGGCTTAGTGTAGACCAAAAGGAATGTGAAGAAATTCAAAACACCAAAAGGGTTATTGACTGCTGTTTTTGGAACATTGTCAAGGTGTACGGGGACCTTATGATAAGCGCCTGTCCGACCAACCCTTCTGGATACAGTCGAGAATTACATAAACGATAATATGTATTTATTCCTGTCTATGCAGGCGCATACCAGTTGTATAGAATTGGACAAGCCATGTGTGGACATGTGCCAGCCCATGTCACTGTTCCTAGGCACCACGTATAGGGATGAGGACCCATGTATTTTAATTCAGTCATAACGCCTTGGAGTTCCCCTGAAGATGACCATCACTGTTTAGAGAAAACAGATTGGACCAGCTGTCGTGATGTGATGGGTTACATTAGATGTCACACAAGAAACACCACTATTAAGCTTGAAAATGTCGGCAAAAGTTTGGATGATGTAAGTACTGGAGTGAAACGTGAGGTTTTGAATACACAGGGTTGAGAGAGGGTTTGTAAGTGACAATACCTGAGATAGAGAGTCATGTGGTGAAATCAGCCGACTTATGCTTTCCAGCACCTACCAACAACTGATAGTGCTTCAAGATATTCACACCAATAGTTCCAGTAGTCTAGTTGGACAGAATGCAAACTCAACAGAATGAATGGCGAAGTACGATACTAAGGTCTAAGAGCCTTCTACCTAAAGTTGCGATAAGTTAACCATTGGTGGCGCTTAGTTGTAGAGATCTTGGCTGCAGGCGCTTTTCTGCTGTAGGTGGAATAACGCAAACTTCTGTCCTAGTATCAACCATGGAGCGCTTCCTAGAGTTACAATCTTCGATACAGAAGAGGGGACAAGGGAGTGGTTCTCCAGAGACGTTAGTTGCCATTATGTGCTGGTCACACGTTTCCTCACTGGCTACTGTCGAAGGTGCAGGGACGAGTACACCTGTGTGCATTGGCATTTTAACGTCTGTGATACCAACAAACGCGAGGTAGCAAGGTTCTTGATTTTGACCGTCTGTTTCTGTTACGCAAGGAAGGTTTGCTGCAAGAGTGAAACACGCGATTTCGCGAAGGATTTCTAGCTGTTAGCTCCTTCTTCAGACTACACAGCTCCTGAGACATCCGTTTGCTGTGGAAAGTGGACGAGTCACTCGTTGAGTGGAGGTCATTTTGACATCGAGAGGTAGTGGGTAAGGTAGCAGAAACGACTGTGAAAGGTCTCATCGCCTCAATGGCACTACCAGCTAACTGTGATAATTTCGTCAAAGGTGACTTGTAGAAGGGTGGAAGAATTCCTTGCACTATCTGAGGTGGCTTTTGCAACGAAAATTAATTAAGGAAGGTTCCATCAATTTTGAAATTAGCAACTGGTTGTTTCATATAACGAAGCATTTGCAAAGGCTTATGGTCTCCAAGTTCAACGTCTTTAAGGAGTCCTTGCACTTTTGTTGGTCGACAGGTGTTAATATCTTGATTAGAGTGGCTTCCATACGGTCACAAAGGCCTGGAGAGGGATCTTCAGGGTCATCTTGTTGCGTGTTCTATTTGACTAAATTAGCGTACACGTATTTCCTAGCACTCCTTCACGTTTATCGATGTGCATAGACGTTGTGGCTACTCGACGCCCACAACGTAAAATCAGAAGGCACTTGTGAAGAGTGTAATCGTGTATTATTGCAATAGTCAAATTTTTAAAAATTATATCAAGGTCACGTTCAACAGTAAGTTGACAAATGTTTACGAAGTACACATAAAATCGGTCTGCGTAAACATATAATATAAGTATGTAAATTAGATTAAAATGCGTGTGTTTATAGTTGGTATAGGGGTACTACATAATTCCCTCACCAGAACACT